CCCACCCCCAGCAGAGCCCCCACAGCCCCATAAACCCTCTGCCCCTCCCAGATACCCCCCAAACCCAGCTCTGCCCCCAAAACACGCTGTGGGGACCCCCCGGTCTGCACGGGGGGGATTCACAGTGACCCCCAGAACTGAAGGAATCCCCGTCCCCGCTCTCCAGGAGCTCCCCCGGGAGCCGGAGGTTTGGGGTCAGACAGAGCTAAAGCACAACTACAGAGAACCACGTATTTGACTCAAAAGTGGGTTATTCCATGGGGATTAGCCAGAACGTATGGAAAGTTTAGGAACATGAAGTAAGAGTGTTGGAGTGTGACAGAGGCAGAGCGTCAGTGAAGGCCCCACAGCCTCTGACCCCCCGGGGCCCCCGGTGACAGCCCCCCCGGGCTCACCCCCCGTCACCAACAAACCAGCCCAGAGGTGGGTGAGGAGTCAAAGTTACACAAAATGAGGCAGCTGAAATCACATGAGAAGGAAAAATCAGAAGCAAAATAGGCACAATAAAAAGAGAGGAAAATCAGAAGCAAAGGATACAGAAGAAATTTATTGAAAGCACAAGTACAGACTGGCCAATAACTGCTTTCTACAATCTCAACAGTAAATAATGGAGCTACAGAAAGGTACAAAGGTTGTTATAAAATAGTTTTAATTTCATTTCTTTTTGCATTACAAACATTCTTTGAAAGAGGCAATGGAATTCTGATGGTGTGAATGCTTACCCTCCCCACCCCACCTTCCACAATACTGAACCTGGAATAGCTGTTATCAAAATATACAATACATCTGTTCACCATAAAAAACTGGGTTTTGCTGCCCCCTCATGTCTTACAACAGGTATAAAAAAATTATAAATATGTACACCCTTTTGTTACTCACATTCTTTACATGCAAACACAGGGATCCAAAGGAAAAACCCACCCTCGCCTGGTTGGGGGTCACCCCACTCCTCTGCTCACCCCCTGCAGGACTCTGTCTCCCGTGGGGTGACCAGGACAGCGGGGGCCACCGCAGGGGAGGGGGGGGCTGGTTCCAACGAGCCCCCTCCTGGGGTCAGGGGGAGGCTGGGGAACCCTTGGGCTGCAGGGGGACGTGGGGGGACAGAGCCCCTGCTCCCCACGGGCAGGAGGGACCCGTCCCCGCTCCGGGAGGAGCAAACTGGCTCCAACAAGGGCCACCAGGATCGGGACTGTCCCCGCTGAGCACCAGATGGTGGCAAGGACACCCGGAGCTTCCCAGAGGGATCTCAGGGCTCCAATCACAGGTTTGCTCAGATTTTGGGGTACCCAAACCCAGCGTCTCCTCCTCGGCTCCACTGGGGCACCACTTCCCGGGCAGAGGAGGAGGAGGAGGAGGATTCCCGGGATCCCCAGTCCCAGGGCTGCAGCCCGAGCTGACCCCCCCCCCAAGACGTCACAGGCTTCTCCAGCACAATTCACATCCTCGAGAGTTCGGGGAGGAACTAAGGAAAGTTAAGACTTTTCCGAACACTCAGTGCCAGGCAAGTCAAGAGCTCCCACACTAAGCAAGGAAATCATAACTTGCAACACTAAGACAATTAAAAAACAAACTTTGGTCCACAATTTGCAGAAAAACCCTGAAAAAAAGTACAAGATTCTTGTTATTTTGCATCCGAACAGGTTGCAGGTTAGAGGGAAATGTAAGGCAACATCGGATCACACGAAAGAGAAGGCAGAATGGCCTGGGAAAGAGTCGTAAGCCAGAAAAAACAAAATAAATGGTTGTATCATTGGGAACAAACGATCTGCTGCGTTCTACTTTTAATGAATTCCCTTCCTATAACTTAAAAGATCTGGGCTTATCGGTTAAAAAGGTAAAAACTTTAGCCTGGGTCCTTCTTCTTAACCTCACAAGCTGTTTGTGCTCGTTATCTCACACACTTTGCTTTTAAAAAATCTGCTTCACTGAACAGGTTTTATCGATTTCATTACGTTACTCACCCTCAGTCATGACCTCAGCCTGTAACTAAATTCCTGCCCTACAGTTTCAATTACAAAAAAAAAATAAAATAAGAAAGTACAGTATACAAGGGTAATACCACAAAGGAGTAAATTTAGATTATGTTTATACCATCTTATCATTCTATAAAAAGGTACTTAAACTATTTCTTTTGCATATAAAGAGATTAGAATATTTGGTCAACTGGAAATATTGCTAGGCACAGATGACAGCAACGGCATCAAAAGTATAATACAAGAATTAAAACAAAAAGCTCAAACGCTGAAGACATGCTATAAGAATGACGGCAGAGCTACATTGGTCTGGTTAATCTCAAATCAGGGGCACGAAGGTGACTCACAGGAACACCTTTCTAGACGTGGGATACCCAATAATTCTTCAAATCCTAGCCAAGTATTTAGATATATATATATACACACACAATTTGACAAACTCATAATGATTCGTCTTCACAAGTGTCCGAAGTGGTTGGTTTCGTATCCTGATCAGGCTCTGCCAAGGGCAGGGCAGGGGCTCGCTGGGACAAGGGGATGTGGTTTGGTTTGGGAACCTTTCCCCACCCAGACCTTCCCGCCGGGTCCCAGGGTACGGACACGGGCTCCCGAGTGACTCCCGCTCGCTGTGGGGGCAGCGAGAGGCCCCCGGCGGGTTGGGAAGGGGCACAAGGACATGATACTACACAGATGGGGACATCTCAGCGGGACACAACTGCCTCGGGAGCCAAAGCCTGATATTTTCTTTATCCACTTTGCCAGCTCCACTCACCCTTCCCCAGAGCCAGCGCTGCCTCCCCCAGCTCTGCCCCCGCTCCCTGCGGCTCTGAGCTCTCCCCAGAGCAGCACAAGGTCTAAGGCACAGGCAGAGGTGCAGGGTAAGGCAGGATTGATGCAACTTAATCCGTGTGCTGGGCAAGGTGGGAGCTCTACACACCATGCATTTCCCACAATCCTGACTCAAAGGCGCTAAAGTGAATTGACACAGTGGTTTTAGGTCTTTCAAGGCATGGATGGGTAAAGAAAATAAAAAAGGCATCAACGTGAAACCTGATAAACTTGTTAGGATCTGCTGTTTGGGGGAGAAGGAGCAGGAGGGGAGGGGAATTTCCCAGAGCAGGTTCCAAAGTGTAAACTTTATCTTGTGATTTTTATTTGAACAGTCAAGATTGTTACCCATCACCGCAAGGTTAGCAATAGGAATTAGATTTAATTTTTTTTTTTTTTTTAAAAACCGGTAAACTGATTTCTCTTTAAAAAAATAAAATCTCTGGTCTTTTAAGGTCACTTCAGCTGCATTTTTAAAGTGGCTTTTTTTTTTTTCTGGAATGATGGAAGTTGAAACCCTCGTGTTCAGCCTTTTAAGGTCAAGGCTGAACCCAAGAGGTTTTAAGTCAAGTCCATTTTGTCTCGCGCCTTCCGAAGCTTTAAATGGTGGACTTCGAGAAGGACACACGCAGGTGATGGTTCTCCCCCAGGTCATGATTATGGAGCTCAATGAGGGACTGAATGGCTTCTTCCACAGAGCCCATCTGGATCAGAGCCATCTTACGGTCCTTCCTGACGAGACACAAGTTTGGGTCACATTCAGTACCCCCAAAGTGTCCCCAACTCACTGCAAGTTCTCACCTGGCGCTCAACAAGGCCAGCAGAAATTAACTACCCGGGTAATCGCCATTTACTTCTACCCTCCTCATGCTGAAAGGCCCAGTGTGAGGACAGGACATAAGAGAAAACACTTACTGGAAGAATTTGAATCCTTTGACCATCCCACCATTGGTTGAAAACAGCATCTTAAGGTCTTCTTCGGTTACTGAAGGCCTGAAACAAAGAGTTTTTCCACTCAAATGTACATTGACAGACTGAATTAATCTCTAAAACCCAATTCATTAGAGCCTTTTCTAAATTCTCTACCAGTAGCTGCTTGGACTGGAAAGGCTGAGGGGCAGGAGGAAGATGGACAAGCCTTGCTCCTGACTGGCAGCAAACAGCTGATTATTTGCTCTCACACTGAAGCTGCACTCCCTTTTACACTCAGCCGTACAGGAATGCTCCTGCTGATACTTACGGAATATTGGACAGATGAAGAGTGGCAGAAGGGGGAAAGATGTTTTGGAAATTTTTGGAGCCTGGTTTCTTGAAGCGATGTAGAGGAGAATTGCCATAGTCCTTGGTCAGGCCGTGGTCCTCCTGGTTCTCGCGGGGCAGCTGCACCATGTGGTGCTTGGAGAGCGTGATCCGGACGGGCTTCCCATAGAGCTTCTGCCCGTTCAGGTGGCTCATGGCTGCAGGGGTGAGACACAGCACTGAGCACAGAGGCACCAGCTCTGTCCTGACACCTCAAAGCTACAGCTTCATCCGGTTCTTCCCTGCAGGTGCCTCATCCAGGACCCGCAGGAAGGCGCCGTCCCTCCGACTCCCTGCAGCTCTGGTTTCCCTCTAGATTCTCTCACAAACCCACCACCCCTTCTCCAGAGCTGCCCCACAGCCACACCACATGTGCAGGCAGGGAGTTAAGCACATGGAGACCTTCAGGTTTGGGGTCTTTTTTTGGAAGAGAAGAAAGTACTGACATTCAAGCTTTAATTACCCACTCGGTCTCTTAACGCTAAGTGCCTCAGACTGTGAAGCTTGCTTACCAAGCTGGGCCTGGTTCCCATCAGCCATCTGAACTAGGGCATTCTCTCTCTTATTAAATAAAATCTTCACCCTCTGCACATCACCATAGACTCCTTCAAAAGGGGAGGAAACAAGAACAGTCTTAGGTAGGGGAAAAGACAAAGTCGCATTCAACTTACTATTAGCTAATCAACCCAACAGCAAAAACATTCATTCACAACCAGAACTGATCTCATTCCAACCATGGCTACTTATTCTGCTCTAAGTAAGGAAAATTCTTATGTAGCAGAATAATAATGGAACAATACATTAAAGAAAAGATACTGGGTTTCAGCAAAAAGCAAAAAAATCTTACTGCCAGAAGACTGGACAATTTAGCATGCTATCACAATTTAAATCTCTTATAAAAGACATGCAAAGCAATAAACCATGCATAACTGAACATAAAATAAAGGCAAACTAAATTAAAATAGCGAACTAAGTAAACAATGTAAAAATGAAATTACGCATTCAAAAAATGGCAAACTGCAAACTGTACACTTTTGAAGTATCAAAAAAGTAAATCTCAAATAAATGAAAAAACAAGGTAATAAAAAGTGTGAATAATAACATACCGAAAAGAATAAAGAGGCATTGGGGTGTAACTCTCTTTAGAGAACAGCAGAGCAAGGCAGCGGAGGGACAGGGAAGAGGTAAGGAATCGAAGGGGAGAGCGAGGTTGCACAAATCGTCCACAACGAGGAAGGGCAGAGTCCCCGCAGGAAATGGCGAAATTGGTTGATGGATGATGAAGTTTTCAAGATGGTTAATATTGAAGGGCAGGTTGGTTTCCGAAGAGCAGGGTTTTTTTTTTTTTTTTTTTGGAAGGGGAATGTTTTTATTTTTTGTTTCAAGCAACAACAGGAAGCAGAAGTACCGTGCAGTCAGTTGGCAAAGAAATTCCGGATCAGGGGAAGAAAAAAAATTCAGGGATGGGGAGAAAAGAAAAAAGTAGCAAAAAACACAGGTCAGTAAATACATAAGGAAATATGTAGTGTTCCATCAGTCAGATTTATAGAATTCTACATACAATAACTTGTTTACAGAAACAGTTAATAGGTTTTACCTAGTGGAACACAATGATAAAGAAAAGGCATTTTTACTTAAGATATACAAAGAAGTAAGAGACAGTATCACAACAGAGTGACCTCTACAGGCTTTAATACAGAATTAAATTGCAACGGTGTTCCCAAAAATTTGACTAAAAATATTTTCTCTGATTACAAGTATTTCTTAGAAGAAATGACTTCATGGATCAAGTCAAAGCCACAGCTGCATTTGCTGCGTTAGCCCAGTGACTGCTGGAAGGGATCCATATTGCACACTGGGCTGTGACAAAACAAGAACAGCCCAATTTAGACCCCAAGCGCTGCCCTGGGAGCAAAGGGTTGTCTGGAGGAGCAGTTGTACTGCTGCAGGAAACCTCAAAGCTCTGCTAGAAGCTCTTGCTGTGAAGGAACTTGGTACCTCATTTGCAACCGAGGTGTATTCCTTTCCACCTCCGGGGTGTGGTGAGGCCACCCCAAGCCCCCAAACTGCTGTTCTCGACCAGAAAGGCAGGAGAAGCACCTCTGCTCCCAGGGACAGCACTGCCTGCACCCCAACAGCACCCAGGGCTCCCGGGGACAGCACTGCCTGCACCCCAACAGCACCCAGGGCTCCCGGGGACAGCACTGCCTGCACCCCAACAGCACCCAGGGCTCCCGGGGACAGCACTGCCTGCACCCTGACAGCACCCAGGGCTCCCGGGGACAGCACTGCCTGCACCCCAACAGCACCCAGGGCTCCCGGGGACAGCACTGCCTGCACCCTGCCAAGAGTCTGCATTCACAGTCCAAGGCAATGCAAGCTCAGACTGCTTCCACTCATGGTGGAAAGGAAAAACATGGAGTAATTTTGGTTTCCACAATTCCAAATGGGGAAAAAAAAAGCCTTAGGTGTGATTGCAGAGGAGTCACTCCAGAGAAATACTGTCTCTTGACTAACTGGTTGTGGCACAGGTAAGTTTCTACAACACTGATTATACAGGCAATGGAAAAAGTTTCAGGTCTGTTAGTTCACAGCTTCAGTACAAGTATCAAAGTCTCTCTAGCACAAAGATAAGCTGGATGGATAATGAAGAGCTCATCAAAAAACACAAGGCATGAAATAACTGCTCTCTCCTGCTGAACCAAGAGCTGTGCGTGTCACCCAGACACTGCTGGAGTGCTGGGAACACACAAAATTAAACAGGTCCAGCACAATCCCCATCCTGTCACCACTGCCACCCCAGCAATGCAGGGTCACCCCAAGAAGCTCACACTGGAGAGCATGATGCCGCTCGAGGGTGACGATGCAGCTCTAAAGGCTTAAGGCTTTTATCTGAGCAGCCAGTGAGGGCCCAGCCAGAGATGACCCAGCTCACGGGACGGCAGAGCAGCTCCTCAGCAAAGAGCAGCTCATCCCACCCAACGCTGCAGCACGGTCCCTGCCGTTATTTCATGCCCTGGGGAAAACAGTAATGACAGATAAAAAGAGCAGTCTGAAACACCGAGTCAATTGGTTCATCTCATCAAGAGTTAAATATTTTGATTGTTCATCACATCCAGGCTTCCTCTTTGATGCAAAAGAGGTTATGTGGTTACTCTGACATTTCTAGTAAGTTTTACAGCTTCGCAAAGTAGTAGTAACTTGTGTGCACAGTCCCAGCAGTTCAAGTGCTTTTCAGCAGAGACTCATCATACTCCACTGCACACACTGGAAGATTCTACACTTTCAATCCAACAAAGAGCCAAAGGCTGAAGAAAAACCCAAGATACCCGTATCAAATTCTCTTATTTATGATGCTGTCCTTCATTCAAAATGATTTTGGCTCAAATATTACTTGCTTTATTTTTAAAGACACCCAAATATTGCAACTCACTAAGTAGAATTGAAAATGTAAACTGTGAGCTGTTAAGGGGTTTAGCTAAGAAAAAACTTCCAGGAACCTTGGAAAGGGAAAATGTGCAAGCACATGGCAGAGGAAATACTGCACAGGTACGAGGTCAAGCTGGCGAGGACCAGACACTACACAGAAAGAGCAAAGGTCAGGACAAACTCTCTCTGTAGTTCTGAATTAATGGATTAAACACCAGAACATGCCATGGGTAAGAAAGAATGGACATGACTATTCCGTGACCCAAATGACACTGCTCCATGGAATGGCAGGGAGACTCCAAATCAAAGAGGGAGCAAGGGACAGGCATTGTAGTCTTTACGGGACAAGAGCAGGCAGGCAGCATCCTTGGCTTTGAACCATAGAAGAGCAAGATTTTAATTTGCAATGGACTTTCTCATTTCCCTTCAGCAACTAGAGTACTGATCTGCTTTGAGTTTTAGAGCCAGCAGAGCACGTCATCTGCTGTTCTAGTTTTGCCGTTTCCTTTAGGATACAGTAGGATTTCACTTTCAATGAGTTTCAGCACAATCTGTGTTCAGAAAGTGAAAGAGGTAACAGGAAGGAGAGAAGAGTAAAGTTAGGACTCCACTAACCTCGGGAATGAGATTGCTAATCAGCAGAACAGAGTTCCCTGCCCCAGCGAGGCCGGGGATGGCAATCCGTCCTGCTGCAGCCGCCGCAGCTGCTGCTGATGGGATAGCCAAAGGAGCTAGTGCATTGGGGACTGTCAGGCCTGGAAATTAAAGAATATTAACCAGTAAAGAGATTAACAGCACGTACTCTAGTGTATTTGCTGCACCAGAAGGGAGAACAGCACACCCTCCGTAACATGCAAGGAACCATTCAAACCCGTGACCGTGTATTTCAGGAGCAATGGGAGCCTCCAGTTCTGGTGCTGCAGGAAATGTTCTCATTCTACCAGTGTTTGCTCTTGCAGTGCCTGGTGCTTATGGGGTGCCTCCCAGCACCACCCTGTTGACTACAATATTTTGCGTGTGTCACAAGCAGCGGAGTCAGCACAAAGCCTCAGCTCTGCTGGTGCAGGAAAGGTATCACAAACAGTGCATTTGTAAGGCTCTTTCCAACCAGTGCATGCCAGAAATGTTCTTTAACCATGCATGTCACAACCAGACACTCTATGCTGCCACCAGCTCATCTCTTCTTCATCAAGGAACACTAAGGTTTTATCTGCAGGCAGCTCTAGTTGCCCTGTCAGCCCTCCAACAGGAAGGGCTTTTGAGCTCAAGCAACGACTGCTAGAAATCAATTAAACTTCCCCAAGTGGCAGGGTCTGTGTCCCCAACAGGACAGGACACCACCAAAACATTCATGGTTCTGCAGTTTGATCTGTGCTTGTTTGTCATAAGCAAGGAAATTCCATCAAGTTACAAGAAAGCCAACAGTGGTGGGTACACTATGGAAACCAATCCCAAACTGTTTAGCCTGGCACTGCAGGGAGGCCTTTTGTGTTTCAGCTCAGGCACTGGGCTACTTCTGTGAGTAGCCATAATTGGTCACCTGCAATAGGAGCAGCAAACTGTAACACTATGTAATTAGGCTCATGTTTAAATGCCAACTTTACTCAAAATATTTAGGAAAAAAAAAAGTATAAAGGTTCCTTGCTTTTGACCACGTTTACAGCAGTCAAAGTGAGTTCCCAACCTCTGGCAAGCACCTGAAAAAATTTGAAATACAGAAAAACCGACCTCTTCCCCCATCTCCCCTGATTATTTTAAACCCTGCCCTTTTCTGTTCTCTCTGATCCCACTACTCATTTCCCTTGTCGCAGGGATACTGCCCAGCCAGAGGTGCTACAGCTGCATCCCATTCCTAGTTGAGATTATGCACTGAAACATCCTTCTAACCCCTACAAAAATGCTGCCACTTAGCTTTAAAACATCAAGATGCCTTGGCAACAGAAAACCTATAGAAAATTTCAACTTACGAAATACAGTACCTGCAGCCTGAGGAATTGCAAAGGTAGGAGGAAAACCAGCTCCCGCATACGGAGAAGCGGAGATTATTCCTGGGGCTCCTGGGGAAAGGTTCACATGTTACACAGACACTCAACTGCAAGACGACTCTAGACTTGGCTGGAACACCATGACCTATCCTTCAACACGAGCATTTAGCTGAAAGCCAAACCCCAAAACATCAACAGTAATTCAAAAGTGCCCCTACTGTAACATTGGACTCTAAAGTTATAAACCCCTTCCTCCTCTGGCTCTGCTGGTCTCAAACTGCCACCAGGTCACAGCTGTGCCCAGAACCAGCCAGTACCTCCTGTCACTGTTTCACCACAACAAAGCTTTCCGAGTGTGGCTTACAACACCCCAAATTCTGGACTGGTCCATGCTGTCAACAAAACAGCAGGTGGCACTAGAAGCACAGACTGAAAACCTGAAACAGCTCTCACCCAAATGGAGAGGTGGTTTCAGAGCAGCAGCCTGCACCCACAGCCTTATGTCCCTGCTGTCTTTGTACTAGTCTGATTCCCTGGTTCTTAATTTTCCTCTTTAGTCACACTGTATTCCAACATTTCTGTGACCGAACACACTAGAACTGTGTCCCCTCCCTTTCCCCAGGTGACCACACAGTCACATCTGTCCTGCTCCCACTTCAGGAACCCTCACCGAAGGCAGCAGCCATTGTCTGATCCAGAGCAGGCTGGTTGTCCCCAGAAGGCAGGTCTGGCCGTGTGTAGTCTCTGCTCTTATCATTATTGTATTTGACATTGAGACTTGTGAGCTTTGAGAAGTCAATGCGCAGCGTGCAGCAGGCGTTGTAGATGTTCTGTCCATCCAGGGACTGCAGGGAAACAAACCTTTCTTCAGCCAAGACGCGTTTAACTACGTCACAGCAACAAACCCCCGAGGAGGTTCCATGTGTTTAACTGTCACAGCAACAAACCCCCGAGGAGGTTCCACCACCCCAGGCACCAGGGTGTCCCCTCAGATGGGGCCGGTCTCCTGCTCGGGGCAGAGCAAGTGCCACTTCATTTGCTCCCCTCAGCACCCACGGGCTCTCCCTGCCCTCTGCTCTCAGTGCGATCTGCCACGAGGGCAACGCTCGTGCCAACCCAACAGCTCCTGACACTGACCCCGGACTAACAAAAGCAAGCCTGGAAGTGGAAATAATTCCAGTGTTTGGCACTGCAGGGACACTACTCACCAGTTTGGCGTGCTGAGCACTCACTGGGTCAGCATATTGTAAGAGGGCCTGAAACTGGTTGTTCTTCGTGAAGGTAATTATTTTCAGGACTGTACCAAATTTGGAAAAAATCTGCAAGACAATATTTGCATATATCGTTATCTTATTTCCACTAAGTTCATTTCCTAGTGATTATATTGATCGATCACACTGAAACAACACAAGTTATCCTTTCACCTCTTTAGCTTTCCAACCTAAACACGGCACGAGACTAGACAAACCTCAGGGTGACTGAACTACCCCCTTAATGAAGTTTTTGTCTCTTTGAATTCTCACACAGGAAGATTCACAGACACCTTCACAAATGCAACTCCCCAAGTGTAAGGGATCCTGAGATGCAGCCAAGCTTGCATTTCACACACGAGGATTCCCTTCAGCAGCCACAGGCAACAGCAGGAACCTCCCAAACAGGCCACTGCCCAAGTGACTCCCGGACACTGCATTTGCTTCCCTGACCCTGGCACAGGGACATGGAGCAGCTCCTTCTGCTAAAACCTAAAGAGAACTCAAAGAGCTGTCTTGAAAACATTTATGTTTGTCCCTTGCACCCTACAAGACTGAAATCCAATTAAAATGGACCAGCAATCCAATCTCTGGAAATTCAAGTCTGGCCAGATTGGGACCAAAAATAGAAGACTCTTGAGTAGGTGTCTGGGTCCCCAGAAAGTAGAAATTTGACAACTATTTTCAGAACTCGAATTATACAGATAAAAACCATGTGCTGTTAGAACACAGACACTGCAATACAACAATTCACTATTTGTTGCTACCCCTTCCTCCAGGACAATCCTCAAGAAGCTGCAGCAACGTGTTTTACCTGATGCAGGACATCGAGAGTGACAGGATAGAAGAGATTCTCCACAATGATCCTCAGGACGGGGCTCTGCCCAGCCATTGCCATTCCCGCATCCACGGCCGCGGCGGAGGCCAAGGGCACCAGGTTCCCCGACTGGACGGAGTTCACAGCCTGCAGAGCGGCCTGGGCACGCTGCAGAACACACACACACTGTCAGACCCACACACCCACACTCCAGCTCCTACCTGCACACTGCCAGGACTCAGCAGTCTGCAGAGGAGAGACATCTACTGTTCCTAAGGCTGGGGAGGCAATGACTTTTTTAAACACGGACAGTACAGAGTGCCAGAGCAATGCAAAAATACCAACTAAATAAAATATTAAGGGCTTATGCTACTGCTAGAACATTGCTCAGCATCTACCAATGCAGCAGAATTATTCCATTGTTTCAAAAAAAGGAAAAAATCTATGCTCTGCTGGGGTGAAACCTCATCTCCCGACTACTACAGAAGCTGACAAGACAAAGATTAAGGCATATCTGCTACAGGGATCCAGGAGTGACAACTGACTTGGTGTATTCCTGCAGATTCCCCTCACACACACACATTACTGTGCTCACTGTTGGGCTCTGTGAGATGCACCCAACGGCAGCATTTTGGCTGCAGAGCGTGGACTCTCCAGCCCGGCTGAAAGCCAGCCCGAAAGGCAAGAGGAGCCCAACGGGAGCTGCTCAGCAGCCACCCCTGATAAGGAAGCACCAAGTAACTTGAACTTCTTTTCAGCATTCCTGTCCTGAAAGATTGCCAAGAGCAGTAGAGCAGAAAAAGGGAACTTTTTACCCCGTGCAGAGCAATCCTGCACAGAAACTCCAGACAGCCCAGCCGAGGCCTTCAGGACGGCTGTGTTCAAGCACCGCCTGCCCCGGAGCCAGCGCTTCCCACAACAGACCATGCTCTGCTGCTGACACAGGGTTTGCCCCACCACAGCTTCATTTTATAAATCTTTCCAATATTAGAAACAAATGTCCTAAAGCACTAGATGTTAATCGTGTCTTTAGATAATGTTTGTAACTAAGGAATGCTAAACCACCACTTCTTGTGATCTCATATTCACGCCTGCCATCGAGGCAGGCCCAGCAGCTCAGGAACAGTCTGCTGAAGCTGTGAGTAAAAGCTGTTACAGGAGACCTATCCCAGCAGCTAGAAACCAGTAGGTTCTGTTCAGCACTTTGGTATCAAACCAAATCTCGGCACCCTCCCAGGCCTGCACCAGCAGCACCAACCAAACCAGCAGAGAACACGGTCCCTCCCACCAGGACGACAACGAACAGAAGGAGAACGAACTGCTTGGTTTGGAGAGTTGTCCGTCTTCAGCTCCTTGTGGTTGGAGAACTGGATGTAGATGGGCTGGGTCCGCAGGATGGGAGTGACCGTGGTGTAGTAGTTCACCATGGTGTTGGCCGCCTCCTCCGTGTTCATCTCTATGAAGGCCTGCGCGGATCAGACCAAACCCCACAGTGAGACGTGGCTCCCGCTGGAGACAGCGTCAGCACCCGACAGCAGCATTGCACCACGGAGAGCTCGGGAGGAGCTTCCAGCTCAACTGTAACTGCATCTCATTTTCACAACTGCATTTACATGCAAGTTTCTGTACACAGAACTAAGAGCCAACTGTACGTAGAATAAATGAGACTGACTTAACATCTGTGATGTTCTGCTCTCACCCCAAGACCTCCCTGCCATGGGTATCTGGGAACCCGACAGTGACACATGTGCCTACAACAACAATCCAGACTCCCCAACACTTGTATTTAGCAGCTTCCCACGCTCCTCTCCAGAGCAGGAAGCACTGCTTGTACCTTTATGGTCTTCTCTACTTCGTAACAAAAATGTAAGGGACTGTAGCGAGTCATTCTATTAAGTACTTACGTATAATCACACCATGCAATATATCACAGGCGCATTTTCATAATTAAGATTAAAGACACAGTATTTTAGGCGATGATTAAAGTTGGCTTGCTTTTTTACTCTTGGGTAACGCAGGAGGTGTGCACTAATTTGGTAGCTAAAATTGTCTTACAAATTAAGGAGTGTTTCAGCTGTCCCCAGCTCATTTCTTCTATCTGTAAAGGTGTCCTTAATATGCAAACTTACAACAGTGGTTACTCAACTGTCAAGCCATCTCGAGTGAAAAAGGCCAACTCATGTCACTGCTGTCCAAATAATTCACCTGGTCTGTAATTTAAAAACCAGGCATAATGCTAATTAGAAGCAACAACCTATAATTATGGACTTAGCTCCTTGTGCAGTCTGAAAATAGTATTTTCTACAGCTCATGGGATAATCATGGAAAAGTAAAATAATAGTATGCAGAAGTTATTGACTCCTAATACCTCACAGTTGTTTAAACAACTTGGATCTGGTTTACCCATGACAAACTCATCACACCTTTGACATAATCCCTGCTTTCAATTAGGGAGACAATACCTGATTTTTTCCTTTCAACATGAGAAGGTTGGTGACCTTGCCGAAAGGTAAGCCCAAGGAAATGACCTCCGCCTCTGTGACGTCACTGGGGAGTTTTCGGACGTGGATTACTCGGGAAGGGACCCCAGGACTCCTATTGTCACTTTTGAATTTTTTGCTGTCGTTTCCATTAGCTGTGAAAAGCAAGAGTTACTGCTTATTAGACTGCGTTGGAAAGAATATGCACACACAAATTCTGAGCACACAGTTTGTGCTCCCCATCCAGTTATTACTCTCAATTACAGAGAAATTCAATCGTCCAATTTAGAGTCTGAGGACACATGGTTTTACTCATATTTTTTTTTTCCTCCAAATTACACGATGGAGTGACATAGCTGAATGCCACTGCAGTGGAGTCAACTCCCCAGTGGCCGTTTTACAGCTTGTTTACAGCACACCCCCACCCACCCACATTTCCACTCGGGGTAGGTCTGAGCCACTCATCCCATCCCCCCTCACCTCCCCTTGGCTCCAACCACAGCTCCTGGCAACGCAGCGACTTGACAGGGACACCTTAAACCAACTGCCATTAAAACAAATATGAACCAAAACCTAAGTTTGGGCCCTCTGGATTACACACATGGCAAAGGCCCCCAGCAGCACAACACCAGGGAGAGGAGCTGATCCAGCTGGGCAGGGAGGCCACAAAGACAATGGTGGCCTCAAGTGAGACAATTCAGGGCCCTGACACACACCGAGGGCACAATTCTGGACTGAGTGCCCATGGATACTGTCTGGGGTGAGACTACTGACCTCTGGATGGCATAGGGCTCCCAAACAGCAGCAAACCACTGCATACAGCCAAAATAATCCTACATGAAATCCAACTGTGCTTTAAGTGTGACAGTTTACAGCAAACCCTGAACGTTCTAATTCTGTAAAATCAATTTTAGCAACTGTTCTGTAAAAATTTTATTCAATCTACTACCCTTGTAAGGGTATAGGACAGAAGTTTATTATTATTCAACACTGTCCTACAAAGGGCCTAAGTAGTACTAAAAATGCAGAGATTTTAAAACTAAGACTGAGTGGGAAAAAACAGGCCTCCTCCCAGTATTTGCAATACATATCAGTTGTTATTCTTTTATCAGCAATATTACCTGCAGAAGAAGAGTTGTTGCTCATGATAAAGGGTCCGTTAGTAACACAAGTAGAGAAAAGCTCGTCAGCTCCCCGCTGGAAAAGAAAAGATGAAAGGTAAACTGACAGCATTTTTACCAAATTCTATTCAGGTACTCCTAAAGCAGAACAATTGAGATTCAGGTGTAGAGAAGCTGAACAGAAGTGTAAGTGAAAATACACTGACGGTGGGCAGTGAACCTCACCTCCACCATAAATAAAAGATAAGTAAGATCCAATTTAGTAATTGAGTAGCACTACCCAGTATCTCTTTTCAGCTAAGCATCAGGAATCTTAAGAGATGAAGCATCACTGAATTGTCTGAGGCCACTAAATGCAGCACTGTGCACCAATACTCACATTTTCCTCTGGTATCTAACAAAAGGGGATTTGGACCACTCCTATCAGACAAGACTTTCTTTTTTTAGGTTAAGCTAGAACAATGCTGTAGTTGATCAGGAACTGCAAAACAGACAGGCCTCCAGGCATCCATCAAGAAGACAGATTATTTTACTGGGGATTACCAGGAGGAAGGAAGTCTTAAGCAAAAGACAAGTTATCAGAAACCGGCCCAAACTGTTAGAGTATGACCGGGCAATTATGAACCAAAGATGTGTATTTTCCAGTTACAAGCAGAAGATACAACTCTGAGAAACTGAGACCTGAAAGAAAAGGATCCCTTCCCCTGCCTACACCAAAAAAAGGGCAAATTAGGGAAGTAAAGCTCCTAGTAAAGAGCTACTTTTCAAACTTTACAGCAGAAATAGGTTGACATACAATGATTTGGATTCTAGTACAAGATAATTTGATGACTGGTCTGTTGTTTCCCAGGTATGATCCCCAGAACAGCAGCAACGACTTTCAGGACAAGAGTCTCATGAAGTCTCAGTAAGTGCATTAGGTCAAACGACAGGCTGTTCCTGGAGCAGACACCAAGTTCCTCGGGTACAGAACCCTCTGCTGCCTCCTGCACCAGGAGGTCTTCTACATTAAAGCCAAGGTGGCTGCTCGCTACACAAAAGCGCTGAGAGCAGCACGGCACACCCCAGCACCACAACTCTTTGATGTTCCTTACTGCAGCACTGCACGTTCCAACTCTACAGAGGAAGAATACATTTGACAAAAAATTCTAAACCAAATTCCTACTAGAATTAGACTAGCTAAAAACCTGGTATTGCAGAGTTACAGAAATGCATTTGTTCTAGGCCTTTTAGCAGCTGTAGGTATAATTCCTCTGTTTGCACAAAGTTATTGAATTGCAGGAGCCTGGCACTTAGCAAATAAATCTGAGCAGACCCACAAGCAGATCCCTGTGTGCAATCTCCATGTTTCCATCCATTACAGCATCCCCCATAAAGTCACCCAAATTACCTCAACCGACCAAGACTAGTTTAGTAGGAGCTATGAAAACCACTACTAGGCAATAGCAAACAAGACTACAAATTACTTCGTAGCACAATCTATATCTACATACACAAGACAGCTTCAAATCAGCATGGCTTCACTTCAAACAAGTTACATAGAAGATCTCAGACCCCACTGTAAACTCTGAGCAAATATAATGTAAATTTAACATATAAAATCAACTTTCCATAATTTTCTACATGACTCTTACACAGAAATGCCACACTAAAAGGCTTTCAGCAGAGAAAGACGAGCAGAGCTCATCCCTGCCTCAGCACCCCCCCCTCAGCACAGACATACCCCACGGTGGGTACCAGCACCTGCCCTCCCCGTGCCCCAGATCTGGTGGCACCTGCAGAAACAGTATCTGCGCGACAACAAGAGCTCTGTGCTCCCTCCCCGGCAAACAGGTCGGAAAAGTAGGTCACACGGGAGCCCCGAACAGCGACTTACAGACACGGCCTTTGGTTTTCTTTTTCTTTCCCCCTCAAATCTTGAATTTCTTGTTCGACTACTCACTGCTGGTGCTTCAAAGACAGGCTCGAGGACTTTGATGTCCCGAATAGGAGGAACTGGGCCGGGTTCCAGGCCCAGGGCTCATGAGCTGGTGCTGGTCACCTGCGAGCACTGACCAGGTCCCACAAAGGCTACGGGCCCCCAGCGAGGGCTCCTTCCACCAGGGTGTAGTAATTAGGAATAGGCCTTTATAACAGCTGTTCTAATTAGCACTTGGAGTACAGCGAGAGGCAAGCCAGTCTGGGAGGCTATTAGACTGTGATCCCATCCTTTTGATGACTCAAATTAATGCATAATTCTAAAGCTAAAACCCCACCAGTTAATGTAAAAACGCTCCTGTGCCTGACCGGCTGCACACAGGCCAGGCTGGGCTTGGCCTTGGGCCTGGACACAACTGCAGAGATTTACAGGTTTCACAGAACCACCACCAGCCCCACCAATGCAGAGAATGGTCACTGGCCTTGGGAAACCCCTCCCATTGGGCCTGAATGGGCCTTGAGTTTGTTAAAATTGTTCCTAAAGAAAAACTTGTACATTTCTGAACATAGGGAACCCCAGCACTCCCAGTATGAATCAATGGGACTGTGCAAGCCCCCGCAATCCACCATGGAAGCACCAGGACGAGCCACATTATTTGGCTCTCATGGAGGCAACACTAGGAAACTATAAACTGGAAAAACAAACATTTATACTATTATGGAAAGAATTTAAATTCCTTGAATTTAACTTCCCTAATGGCTTGTTTAAAATAAACATTTTCTCACATATTTGGAAATTTACTTGCAGGGCACTTTGACAAGGAATGTTCATTGCTGCTGGTTTCCACATGTCTATGTTTCTTTAATGAAAGAGCAATTTCAAATCCACTCCCCTCTTATCTTGGAGGCGTCCGCGCTGCCCGCTGTGACCAGAGCCGGGAGGCAGAGGGGGAGGATTGTTCAACATCAAAAGCAGCAGCAGTCAATTTGTAAGCTTCCCAGCTGGAAGTACATGCAAACCGAGAGGGGAGATTGCAGCAGTTGGAAAACTACAATTATCCCAAGGTCTTTTCTCTCCAGAAGGGAGTTTACAGCCAGCACACACAGGAGTGTACAGTTAGATCAGGACTGCTCTGTGCAGCCCGTCTCTGAGGATCCAGCCCAGGAGGAGCATTCCCGGTGTTCCCAGGGGTTCCTGGGCTCAGACAGGGAGCCGAGCGGCCGCCCACACCAGGGAGCTCCATCCACCACCACTTGCCACCACCTTTTGTTCCTCCTCCCTTCCTGCTGGAGCAGAGCTGGGATAACCACAAGAAATCTGTATTGATGGTTGGGTTTTGGAATGACCTGTCCCGAGGCAACCTGAAAACAAGAGCTCCATGAATCCGGAGCCTGTGCCCGTCCTCGGTCCCTGCACTCCCAGTAACCACCAGTCTCCTCCCAGACACCAACGGCTCTTCTCTCTGTAAGATATGATCTATGAATAAGCTTGAAAACCACGTGATAAACTCCAGTATCCTAATTCAGCAGAGCCAGAGGAACCAAAGTGAGCCTGGCTGTTTTAAAAGATTTAGAGAGTTTCCCACCAGCAATGTATCCATTGGGCATTTGGGATTATATTGGAAAAGACAGTGCAAAAGCTATTGGTTCTAAAGCATTATATTACTTTAAGTTTAAAGCTATGTGAAGCCCAGGAAGGGGAAGAGGTGAGCGAAGGACTGTGTGGGTGATCGGCTGCTCACCAGCAGCAACCCACACCACCACTTCTCTACCTTTTTTATTCTCCAGCAGCGAGGAGGAAGCCCGGCCGCACGGAGCCTCCTTCACGAGGCCGTCCTCCAGATTCTGAAGTTCACATCCCTGCTCGCAAGAGGCATCCATTTACATTGACATTTCTGTTTAGCTGATTCCTTTGCAGCTGGTATTTTTATGAGGAGATTAACAGGAGCAACAGTAACACTGCTCTCCAAAAAATTCCTCCTTTGAACTAACAAATCTGCTCTTCCTGTTTACAGAGCTCAGCCCCCGCCTGGGAAGTCCCAGGCCAGGGTGAGGCCGTCCCTGTCCCACAGCCACCCGTGGGCACAGGCTCCACCACCGGTAACGCCGCGGCAGCACGTCCCTGCCCGTGGCACTCCTGGCACACGTTAATTCATAACACCCCTGTTCCCCCAGCCTCGCCAGCAACATGCTGTGTTCCCTTCCCTGGATCCCACAAAGGGCGGCTGCCCCAAGGTACAATCCTACTATCTCCTATTTTTCCAAGTTATCTTTTTGACCAACCCCCAAACTCTCAGCTTTTTTTTGGCTTTAAAGTTTAACAAATAAGTTCTAAGATTTTTTTCATTCTGCCAGGCTTTCACAACTTAAAAAGCAACTACTAGTTCATGTGAAAACTATAAATTGTCTCATTTTCACTAAGGTTTTACCTGAACTTCACCACAGTTTGGAATGAAGTCAGAGATTGCCTCGGCTTCTCCCAGCACACCTAGAAGTCCCACAGAAATTCTCAGCTGCCCCATGTAATCCTTTATCTACTTAAAATCCAGGCACTTATTTTAAATGGATTACAATAAATCAGCTGCATTCCGCCTGCGCAAAAGGCCAGGAACAAACACAAACTAAACCACCATAAAAAGACTCATTTCAAGCCAAGCAGGTGATAGGACATGGTAACAATCACTTTTCAGAATGCAACAAGTGTTACAGGGAAGAAGCAAAATTAAAGCAACAGCAAAAAGTGCACATGGGAAGGAAGGGGACGGGCTGGAAAGGCCACTGAGCTACAGAAACTCTCCTTCCCTGGCTCAGCGAGGAAATCCTGCACAGCAGCAGCTTTCGGACACGGAGCACCTCACTCTGACCGAGGACAGAGTATCCCCCCCGGTCCCCAGGGAAAAGGCAGCTGAGGCAGCACAACAGCCATCAGCTAACACCCACTCCCAAAAAGCTAAGTGGGTACCACAGCTGCACGTGTAAACCCCTCTGGAAACAAACCAGGACAAAACCTGGGCTGGTCTGCTTTTCTGAAGTTCAGACAAAACCCTCTGCTAGAAGCTGTAACTCTGCCAGGCCAAGCTCCTCTGCTCCGCTGTCCCTGCATTTGTGAAGAGGTTTTGGAGGCAGTGGAAGACCACCATAATATCTGACAAGCACAAA